CTTGGTTTGTGTGCTACATGGAGGGAGTGTGTCGACTCGAACTGCTGCACGTCGGTGCAAAGCGGCTCTATGTTGAAACCAGTCAGTCAGTTAGTCAGCATGATCTTCGGCTAGGATAGACTGTTACTGATGCAATGAGCGAGGACCAAATCCATTTTGCGTATAATTTTCCTATTTCAAAACTACATATGGTCTGAAAATGACATCGGTAAAAAAGGACTGTTAAAAATCAGGCATTCATGCATAGAAGTTCTTCGGAGGTATGCATCCATGACCTCTTACTATGGATCAAAGAAAGGATCTACAGCTACTGAGTAGAGGTGCACTGAATCACGGATCAAAACAACCTTTGCCACAGTCATTCAAATACTTCCTTTCTCACAATTAATGTATTTTTCTGTGATACCACGTCTATTAGAAAACAAAACAAATTGAATTTTCTCCTATTGTCTATGCCTTTTATATCTTAGATCTCTGTGATGCATATTTTGTTATCACAACCTCCGATGTCTTTGTGCGTGTGTGTGTGTGTGTGTTGGTAGTTCGTTAGTAGATTGCTTGTTAACTACCCTTATGATCCTAATTCGACTTCTGGAGGATGCCCTCCTAAACCTCGGCTAGGTTTACTAGCTGACAAATAGTAAGCCTAAGAAAGAAGGAAAGTTCAAGGGGATGAGAAAGCAAGATCTACAAATTCACCGCTTAAAAACGAAACTTTGGAATAACTTGAAGCCTTCTGTCCCACTTGGAATGCAAACGAAGCAAGAAAGAATAATTAATCTCTGATGCCTTTTATTTTGCATTATTCTAATTTTATGACATTAACATCACTGAAATGAATTAGAATTAAATAATTTTTTGAAAAGAATGACCTTATCTGACAGGTGGTGCGGGTTCGAAACCCTTTTTTTGATTTATTCGTTTGATAGGCATGCTATCAAGTGCCTTATTATTACTATTACTTTTGAGTAAGAAAAACTAACGGGCACAATATAAACTTAAAGACATTAAAATTAATCATTGATTGTTTGTAAGTTGTACTTGTTTTCAGTTAGTTACTGACGATACATTAAATTTCGTCACATTTTTCTTTTTGATGAGTGCTCATCAATCTTATTAAGGACATCTTAACACCTATATATATATTATAATAGTACAAAGCAGACTTATAAAATGCACAAAAAATTAACCATTTCTTGTTTAAGTTATAAATTATTTCAAAATGTCCGCCACAACATTCAAATTTGAATTTACTTAATCTAAACAAAATTTTTAAAAATTGTGATCGAAGACTATGGTTAAAAATTTATTGCAATGTACATTTTGTCAAGAAACATCAACATTAGTGAAAGAATCATCAAAAAGCGGTAGACAGTAGAGGACAGTTGTTTAGAACCATTCAACAGTGCAAGTCCACGACTATACCGGTGATCGGACACTGTACCTTCAGGTTACGAGGTCAGATAGTTGACCATTCAAAAGTTTGGGTTGGAAATGAGCGACTGAAGAATTCTAACTTCTGTTTATTAGCGAAAAAGCAGTACTACCAACCAATGCCATAGACGAACATCCAATTGATTTTGGTGTGATGTCTCACAATGGCCATGAATTCTCACTACAACTTTAAGAAATTCATCCAGTAGGCACCAATGAGTTGGGATGGAAACCAAGACCTTTAATTTACAAGATTATTCTGCTAACCCCTCAGTCAAATGTCTGCAATGGACTGATATTTCTATGAATTCTCGTTACAACATCCCTGATAAACAGTGTCATCAATTAGCATCCATTTTATATCCAATATGATCAATCCTACTAGCCATTAGTTATAATAAATAGAATATTTACGCGTTTATCCAATAGCCTCATATCCTAAAATTACTGGATTAGATCGCCTGGTGGAGGGAGGTGTCATGAATAAGTACTGCTGAGGAGTATCACACTAGGACAATGGAGTTGTTCAGCATTGCCTGCATTTCGGTAGCTCTCTAATACTAATGTCACTTCATATTTACACAATCAGAAAACTTCCTTCCTTTTAGCAGTAATTAAAGTGAATACTGAACTTTAGCAAAGTTAGAGAACTAGTGTAGGTCGCAAAATTGTTGAATGGTCTGTTTTGTCGCATACTTCTCATTAATTCTTCTAATTACTATCTTTTTGCAATCATATCTACCCTTGAATTCATATCAGATCCATCAACCCCTCTTCTTTTTTAGAAACCAACTTTTATTTTTAATGCTGATCGATATAACCTCAGTGAGGTAATCGATAAAAAGTCTTGACTGATCTAAGCTTTGTGCTTATCAGCGCTTATCCCTAAGATATACAAGTAACCTTGTGAGTGTAGAGTCTGCATTACTCAATCATGAGGTCAGAAATGTTACCACCTAACTGTTCGTGCTGATCAGAGGTGTTTACGAATTAACTTATATCGCTTTCAAGTATTGGTTTGTAGGGATTTGATTGATTGGTTACAGGATTTCATCATGAGCTGACATTGGTTAGAGAACCATTGGAAAACCAGCTAGGAGTACTGCCAGACAACTGTTTCGTCCTAGTCTGTGACTCTTCAGCACTATACACCCGCCACCAGGGTTCGAACCCTCGACCTTACGGTTACAAGGCTAGCGAGCTCATGGACCGTTAAACCACTGGGACCCGATCCAATGGCCAGTCCTGCCAATTCACGCCATAGCGCAACCGCTAGCCACTGTCTTCGACGAGTATTTTTCTTCACACCCGACCAACTCATTGAACTACCTACCTGAATAGGGTAGGTAGTTAAATGAGTTGTTAAATGAGTACTACTGATTTCTAAGAATACTTTACAAACTACTCACTTCAATTAGTTAGTAGTATACATAGTGCCAATGACAATAGTATTATTATTATTATAAAATGAATATAGATAGACTAATTTCAATCTGATTTATGTTACAACCCTAAATTAATAAGACGACCCGTGAAAACTAGGGAGTAGTAGGTAGCTATTTCGTCCCAGTTGCCGACTTTTCAGCAGTCTCTGATCAGAACTCTACAAACAGTATGAAAACGAATGCATACCGATAGAATCTGTTGAATTCATCTAGATCTTATGGATGTTACACTGAATTCTGAGCGACTTGTAGTCTCAAATTCCGTAGGTCAGATCCATAGTGACTACTGAAGAGTTTCAAAGTAGAAGTAGTGTTTCTCTTCAACTGATGTTGGTTTGTGAAATCAGTCAAAAAATATGTTCCATTGAACACTTGAATATCAATTACTTAATGGACTGTTTAAGCGTAGAATTTATTGGTTTGGAGCACAACACACTTAAATTCTACTGTGTCTGTTTTAGTTGATGACTATTTAACCTGACTGGTTGACTGTAAAGATTTTTTTATAGTCGGGGATTAATAATGATTGACTGGGATAAAATGAAAACTCGCATCACAGCAGGAGGCATTCCAACAACCTGGTCCAAAGTTGATAACCAGGTTATCATTTCACTGAGGTCATTAGTGGTAGTGTTTAACTGTCATGTTGCGTAACAGCCTGTTTCTTATGCATCAAACTATCTGCTGACGTTTTAGCTAGATCTCCTACGTCAATCTAGAGTGATATACTGAATTAGAACGGATAGAAGCAAGTTATTTTGATAGATAGAGAAACTAATTGAGATAATCTCCTACAGATCAGTGTGATGGGTGATGGTTTAAAGATATATCACTTTTTAAATATAAATTTTTTAGTTGACTCCATGATTACCGCCTAAGATTCCATCTCCTTCTTCACCTCAAGCGATCTCCTCCGTTATGTCACCCTCAAATCCACATCCAACATGTCGTTTACTACCACGGCGCTTGTCATGCAATGCTATCCAATGGTATTCTCAGTGTCCGTCCAATCCGTCCCCATTTCACTGGGCATATGTGTTGACTAATAGGTTATTGATCGGTTTGTTGATAGAGTTCCTTGTTGCCTACCCTTTTTTCTTTCCAGTTGGCTGGAGCCATCTGATCTTCAGTATGGGGTGAAGGTGACATCTGTTTTGACAAAAGTCTGCTGTTTTTTGGAATGTTTATTTGATATACCAAATGACTTGATATTAGTGCCGAGGACGTGTAAATCCCCTACCGTGTGCCTTCCTTGATTACACATCTGCCTTCAACACTGAGGTACACAGGCTTCTTTTGTTAAACAAGCTTGTTGTGTCACAAGCACAGTGCTGGATTACTAGATGGTTGCAATCTTGTTTTTCTGATAGGAAGCAGTTAACTGTTTACAATGGGAAGATCTCCATTGCTTCACTTACTCTAACTGGTATTCCTCGTAAGGCTGTTCTTTCTCTTTTACTGTCTTCCTTCTTCTCACATGACCTGCCTCCTATTCTTACCAAGCTAATTTTGTTAAGTTTGTCGATGATCAGACTGTTACCATGCTGATGGTTAATTCTCAGTCAGAAATTGCTCAGTAATCCCGGCAGAATTGTCTTAAGCTTGATTACTACATCCAAATGTCAGGTGGTCATTTTAACTTTCAGACTTACGTGAACTGTTTGACTCACATGGTTCCACTATCAGTGGAGCACTGGAGTTGAAACCAAAGTGAATGGTAAATAACTTGGACTGTGCATTTCCTCTGATCACCTTTCCTGTCCTGGCTTATCGTTTGATGTTCTGTGTGAGGAAGCTGAGACGACCCGGCACAATTCCTTCTCTACTGTCACCGTTTGTTAACTCTTGCATTCCGCTTAAACTTCTTTACTGCTCGCTCACAACTTATTCTTACGAAGCCTACTTAAAGTAGACTTTGCGATGCTGCGTCGGGCACTAATAGACGTCAGCAGGACAAGTGGAGTATAGCTAAAAGAACTGTATTTGAACATTTAGGTTCCGATTAGAAATCAGCAAATATCATCTTGTGCAGCGGATGCCGCCTATAGATAAGTCAATGAAGTGACTTTCCTGAGATATTTTTCTTAAAATTCGTTTCTGTTTTTTCTTTTCAAATTTTAGAATGATTCTGATCTAATGTCAAGTCCAATGAATCCAAATACTGGTGGTATGAATACCAGTCATAATAATATCAGCAACAGCAACAATAACAATAATAATAATAATCGTAAAGAAGATCGTGTCAAGCGTCCAATGAATGCATTTATGGTATGGTCACGTGGACAACGTCGTCGTATGGCACAAGAAAATCCTAAAATGCATAATTCTGAAATCAGTAAACGTCTTGGTACAATGTGGAAAAATTTATGTGAACTAGATAAGAAACCATTTATTGATGAAGCGAAACGTTTAAGAGCAAATCATATGACACAATATCCTGATTATAAATATCGTCCAAGACGTAAACATAAACCGTTAGATAAACAGAAAAAGAATTCAACCGCTCTACCGTCTTCAATGATAAGTGGATATTTAGGGAATAATACAATGCCTCCTGGATCACGTGGACTGCCTACTGGTAATGCGGTTGGTGGAGGAGGTGGTGGAACCGGCGGCGGCGGCGTTGGCGGTGGTGGTGGGGGAGGACCTATGACGCATACAAATCGACCGGTTCCAGATTTATTCGATCCACTCAACTCTCCATCGTCTCAGTCGCATCATCATCATTTCAGTCAGCATATACATAAACATGAACATCACCATCATTTACACGGGTTATTCAATCCAACGGGGAATAATCCACGTCTTCCGACAAATCCTTCATATATGCCTAATCAACCTACAGGGTATTTACCACATCCTATTACTGGACTAATGAATACTGAGAATCAATCTATGCCAGGATTGCCAGGATTAACTCAAATAATACCACAGCCTGGATCAGCTGTACCCCAACCACCTGAACATCATCAACCAATTGACTTTCATTCAACGCATCGTTTACAAGATTATTTAAATTCAAATATGATGCCGTATTACAGTTATCCGGGGAGTGAATTTGATAGAGATGCGAATTTAAAGCATTCACTGTTTAGTATTGATCCAATGGCTGCTAGATCAACAACTCCAACGCAAACGCCAACGTTCAGAACAACAGCAACAACAACAAGTCCACCTCGAACAGCGACTACTGCAACAACAACAACAAACACTACCACACCGACAACAACATCCTCTCAATATGAAGAGTATACAACAGCATTTCATGCAAATCGACAACTCTCTGGAAGTTATCGAGATAATACTACTACTGCTACTGCGAATATGATGAATCATATAAGTAGTAATTACAGCCGATCACTATCAGTTCAAGATAGCGCCGGTAGACGTATTTACGCATCAGAGCAAAATTTAACTAATCATCATCAATTTAATCCGAATTTCTTTTTGAAAAGAAATGAAGAATCGATTAGAAGTCCTACTGGTTCTACGACTAGTACAACTATTGTGAATACTCCTAATAGTACTAGTACTGTTAACAATAGTACTGGCGGTAGCCATCGTTCTCTCCTCCCACCACCACCACCCTTCCCTCCTTCACATCCTCATTCTCATCAACACCCACACCACCACCACCACCATCAACCAGCACAACTGATGAATCCTCATAACAACAACAACAGCAATGAGAATAATGAGAATACTAATGCCCAGTTAGTTCCAACGGATATGTCAAATCAATTCTCTGCAGTGGCGGCAGCTGCATTAGCTGTTGCCGCAGTGAATGATACAAATTTTGAGAGTAAAAATCATAAAAATTCAATCAAGTTTATACAACAGCTGAATAATTCACCATGGTCAATGTTACGTAATGATAATCATAATAAATCGATATCCAATCAATCAGGATTAAAGACAAATCAATTTGCTGAGTCGGATTCAATGCCGATGAGACAGAATGATAATCATAATAATAATTTTAGCTACACAGGATCTATAGGATCATCGTCACCACCACTCCCAGCATCGTCGATGGTATCTCCACCGCCGACAACGTCGAATAATAATAATAATAATTCACATAGTGCGGCAGCTGCTATGATGGCTGCTGTCGCAGCGGCTAATTATGCAGCATCTCAACTGGCTTACTATGGAGCTAATACCCAGTCGAACAACAACAGCAACAACAACATTGATAACAATAACGAGAGTTTATACTCACGTCAACCAAGCATACCGGGGGGAGGACGTAGTACTATGGAGTCATTATCATCAAACTGGATGAATAACAGTAGCAATACTAATCCACAGAATGCATCATTTCGACCAATCTCCTCTGGATGGTCAACAATTTATAATCGAAGTGATTTAGAGCCATTAGATGTATCAAGAAATGATGTAAACCTCTCATCGATAACCGCATCATCATCATCATCTTCTTCTCCGTATCCACCATCGTGTCCACAGTTGGATCCATATAGTCGAAATAATTTATCCTCACAATTCCAAATAAATCGTAATCCTGCATGGTTAGAACGTCTTGATACCCATCAGCTGCAGCTGCAGCAGCAACAACAACAGCAGCTACATCATCAGCAATCAATACACTTCCAAGGTCATAGAATGTTACCTAATATGACAGATTTAGGCGTTAACTCGAATGGTTCTCCTTCCAATGTACAAAAAAGTTAAACATATATACGTAAATATATACGTATACGTATAAACAGTATTACTGTAATTTTTCTCGTTCCCAACGGATATATATACATATATCACTTCCATCCTTACCATGTTTATTTATTATTCTATATGAAGAATTTGTTCAAATCAATGAATTTAACAGTCCTTCAACATTGAACATAGTAATTTGAGCGGGTGCGCGCGCGATTTCATTTTTGTTTAAACAAACAAACCAAGGAGAAATGAATGTGAAAATCTTATCTAATCAAGATATATATACATATATATACGTCATTTTCAAGAATTTAATGAATATTTCATTTGAAAAAGATTCAAGTTGACAAAAGAATGGAGACATTTTTTCTTTCAAATTTCACTATATCACACATATACAAATACATACAAATGAGGCATTTCCCTTCAACAATCTGATGTACAAATTTTTTCAAAGTGAACAAACTGTAATACCAATAAATAAATAAATAAACAAATATTTATATTTATTCAATTATTTTGTAATTTATTATTACTGTTATTATTTTTCTCTCTACTTCTGTGTGTAGTGTCAAGTTCAACACTGGCATACAATCACTTCCATTCTCTCTCGCTTCCTCAATAACTCACTCACTCACCCACTCACTCACTCACTAACTAACTCATTGACTCATTCACCAGACGTTCATCAGTGTATCACTACTGATAATGCCAACATCTTTAAGTTGACTTCAAAATTTATCTAGAATTTTCGATTCTATCAGTTCTCGAATCATAATATGTAATATGTAATCGAAGTGATATGATGTAATGCAGTGTAATGTAATGTAATATATACACACAACTGATTGACACAAAAGTGGAGCAAGAAAGCCTTTCTTTATGGGGCTTCACTGTCTCTCTCTCTCTCTCTTCGCCTTTCTGCCCTTATTTCTCTCCCTACCTCTTCTGATTTCATTAGCCTAATGTGGAGGATTCTTTACTGCACAAACAATTATCTCCAAGTTCAATTATATCTATCTATCTATCTATCCACCTATAGTTCACCAAAATGTATAAATATTAATGCGTAAATATATTAAATTATCCTAATAATAATAATAATAATAATAATGATAATAATAATAAAACAAATTAAATGGGTTAGTATTCTTTACAAGATTTCGGGTGTTTTTTTAAAAAAGGGATTCCGATATTGCAGGGATTCATGATGAAATCCTGAACTGAAGAATTTTGATGAAAGTGGTCTTCATTGGGAACGATTACCTCCTCAATCACTAGAAGGAATGACAGAGGTTATTTTTGTGTATTTGTATTTATCTTCAGAGGTGTTTAAGGATGGTGGAGACAGTTTACTGTCAGCGTTAACTAAGGTATTAGACAGCGTCTGGGAATCAGAGGAAGTCCCGTCGGGTTGGTGCAAGTCACTGATTATCTCGATATACAAAAAGGGAGACAAGTCTTCCTGTGATAATCACAGAGGAATTAGCTTGACTAATATGGTATGCAAAGTTCTAGGCTCAATAATAATGCGTAGAGTAAGTGGTGCTCGGGAGGAACAAGCACGAGAGAGCCAGGTAGGCTTTAGACCATGAAGAGGGTGTATTGATAGTATCTTTACCCTTCGACAGATTCTGGAACATAGGCATACATATCGTTGGCGTCCAACAGTCGTCACATTTCTTGACCTGAAAGCGATATTCGATTCCGTCGACTGATAGGTACTATAGCGATAATTGGCTGTGAAGGGGAAGCCAAGAAAAAAACATCGTACTAATCAGAGTACTCTACTCGAACTCATGCAACCGGGTGAGAACTTAAGGGTGAGTTGTCATCTGAGATGTTGAAAACCAGTGGTGTCAGTCAGGAATGCCAACTGTCTCAGTTTCTGTTTAATTTCATCGTAGATGTACCCTAGCTTAATTGAGCTACTCAGGGATTGAATTGTTACCACCAGGAAATAACTCCGTTGACCTAGAATATGCAGATGATATAGTCCTGACTCCTAGGTGAAGACTCTGACAAAATGCAGCCTTCTGAACACCTTGAGCTGCAATCTTCGAATGTCTGGCATCTAAAATAACCACTTGATTGGTAAAGTATTTTGATGCAAAATACTCTATATTAGTGTAGAGCGATCCGATGATAGGGAACTAACTGAGAAGGAATTCATATTTCTTCACGCAATCTGTTCTTATTTCTAAATGTGTAAATGGGAATTTGAAAAATTGAGGGAGTTTATAATTCACGGGTCATTGTATTCCAACCCAAATGCCTGAATAGTCAACGAGGTTGAAAGTCCTGGTTGTGATCCCCATTGGAGTCAACTGTTCACACTCCTGAAGATTCCCCAACTAGGACGAAACTGCTATGTTCAGTTTTCCTTGATTCTCAGTGACTTTTTAATTGATTCCAGTGTTTCTTGATGGAATTTAACAATGACTTTGAACAACCATTGCGGCCTCAGATGCGAAAAAACAAGGTATAATCGGAAAAAGAAATATTTTAAAAACGGTACAAACATAATTTTAAGTTGGATAATGCTCTCTAATATGCTGTAGAAGGGTTTCCCAGTTTTTTCAAGTATGACCCGCAGAGAAACCGTACCATACCCCATACTTGTATTCATTGATGTGGCTATAAATCGACATTCCTCATTCTTTTCTTCAACCTCCACCAAAATCGTTTGACAGTACTAGTATGCGTGTCTGTGATTGGATCCACAAGATCGGAGGAATGGTTGAAATGATGGTGAATATGACCCAAAGATGACAGTTGGTTATATCTCCTCCATTCATCAGTATGTATGGTTGTCCCTAGCTATGCCCAGCACCGAACGACTGGAATTAATACTCCAGCACTTGTATTGGGTATTGTTTCTACAAGACCTTTGGGAAGTGAAGTGTTGTATATTCCAAGCACTCACGCTTGATTAGCCCTTCTTTTCCCCCAACTATACTTCTTTTTAATGAAGACAGTTTCATCAATTTGAAAGACTACTCCTACTTCTCCAAGACAGTCAGTAATCCCCTTTATCTTCCATGACACTATGTCTTTATAATGCTGACACTACTGCACAGTAAAGACCATGCTATTCTCTATCTCAGCGGCTGCTGACCCTGTAGGTTTTTGTAAAATCCAACAATACAAAAGGCGTAGGATATCCATCAAAGACAGTTTAGACTTGGAGAAAAAGGTACCTAAGGAACAAGTAAAATACTTCACCTACCCCCATGAACATATTTTCTCTTATGACATGAATTACATCTATAGCACTGTTTATCTTCAAAATGGTTGTATAGCTTTAGTGTCACAGTATCTCCACGAACTCAACTCCATTATCAAGACGGTAGTTGAATGCTCAGTCTTTGCGGAACTCAGCGACCAAATCTATCAACGCAGGCATAATTTCTATTTGGAATGACTTTCCAGAGAGTCCGATTAATCTGGGTGGTCGCTGAAGGTCAGCTGTGAAAGATCTAGGCTGTGGCTATGACACTCTAGCTTCGCCAAGCTTTATGTTTTCAAAAGTATTCAAATATTTCAATTTTGAATAATCTCTCTTTTACAGGATTTTCATCATGAGCTGACATGATGAGGCGAGCTCGTATACCATTAAGCCACTGGGACCCGAACTAATGTCAGCTCATGATGAAAATCCCGTAACCAATCAAATCCCTACAAACCAACACTTGAAAATCTCTCTCTTAATTACGTATTGAATAAATCACAAATTTGAATAGTACTAAATTGTGAAAGAAAAAAACACACAAAAGATTTAAATAGTCATATAACATAGTGAGTGACCTTTGTTTAGCAGAGTAGATGAACTGAGGAAACAGATGAAACTTTTTCTTTAAAAAAAAGAAGAGGAAACACAAAGGAAACTGATGTACAATAGATAAGAAAAGAGGTTATTTCCTTTCACGGTTTTTCTTCAGATGATAACAGCCTAAAGTTGACATTTTTTAAAAATTTCATGAGTTCTGTGTGGGACATAGGGCTTCTTGCTTGCTTATTGTTTTAGTAGCAGTCAACCTTCACTTTTTTCCCGACTGATTACTGGTTAGGAGACATGGTGAAGTTTAAGAGTGTGGCGGCCAGAAATCGAACCTGGATCACGTTTGACTGGGTTCATCGTTGATGGGCTCAGCTCTAAACGATCTTAATAGCCACTTGTTTCTTAGATCATTTAGATCTAGGTAGTAGGCACTACTGTTTTATGTGTGAGTGTGTGACCTACTGATATCAAGTAGTCAGTAGTATATGTCATCTTGGACACATTAAGGCTGATTTGTTTGAATAACCTAACCGAGTTATTACATATTATCATTCTTGATTATAGCTCACTTGCGCCGGTGGCACAGTGGAAGAGTGCTCGCCAACCTCGCCTCCGGCCGACGCACTCCTTTACCTCGCTAAGTCAGTAATAAGACTGGTAAAGAGGGAGGTTGGTCATGATGCCAGCAGCCCCATCCCGTAAAAAATAAATACCAATGCTACCGAAACTTGAAGCCCCCTATGTTCCACTGGGAACGTAAAGGAATAAAAAATAGCTCATTGGAGTTACTTGTCTGTACAAGATACATCAATGGGATGGAGATAAATTCCTTCAACTCGTCGTCATTCAGCAGCAGTAGGAATCCTAGAATAAGAGGATTTCTTTAGGAGGTATGAAGAAGAACAAATATTTAAAAAGTATATCTTAAACTGATCCACAACGGAACACTCAGTGAGGCGTTCGAAGTGAATTTGGGAGTAAAACAAGGCTGGCTGGCTGACTATTTTCACCGACGATGTTCTTAATTGTAATGGATTGGATTATGCTTGAGATTGTGGGGAGCGAGTAGACAAGAATACAGTGGGCTACCGATAATAAGATTCTAGAAGATCCGGATTTCGTCGCGTGGATGATATATGTCTAATGTCACACAAAGCTGAAGAATTGCAGGCACGCACAAACCAACAAACTAGCAGAAGAGGCTGGCAGGCAGTAAAGACAGGACACCAGGTGAACATAGAGAAGACGGAGGTGATGAAGACAACCAACTGATAAACAGACCAACAGCAACAACAACCTGGACTAATCACTATCAACAGAAGAAATTCGAAAGAGGTCACTTCACTCGCCTACCTAGGAAGCACCGTTTCAACTACAGGCAGTTGGAGTGGATGAAGATGTCAAAGCCAGGCAGTCGTAATCGGAAAGGCAAGATTCACCTTCATCAACGTGGAACCAGTTTGGAAATC